TACTCGGGGCAGGAGACTGCCAAACAACAGGGTGTGGCTCTTCTTCTGAACAAAAGAATGAAGGGGGCGTGGGAGCGTGGCGGTGAGGTGTGGGAAGCTGTAAGCCCCAGGATACTTTGGGCTCGCCTTCCCATCAACCAGAGGCGAGGAGTGGTGGTCGTGGTTACTTATGCCCCCACCGAAGACGAACATCCGTGGAGGGATGCAAGCAAAGCCGATGAGTCAGACGCTTTCTATGACCTCCTGTCACAGGTGCTGGCTAAAGTGGCCACTCGGGACAGAGTCATCTTGTTGGGTGACTTCAATGCCCGAGTTGGTCATGATGCTGACACCTGGTCTGGAGTGATTGGAAGGCATGGGCCAGATCAGCTCAATAATAACGGTAGGAGGCTGCTAGATTTTTGTGCAGCCCATGGGCTTGTAATTACCAACACGCTCTTCCGGCATCGGCGCATCCACACAACATCATGGATACATGCCGGGTCCAAGCAAGAACATCTGCTGGACTACATAGTGACGGACCAGCGGATGCGAACCCATGTCCTTGACACCAGGACCTACCGTGGAGCTGATCTGTCCTCTGACCATCGACTAGTCATCTGTAAGATGCGCCTGCCTTTCTTCCACTCCGGTGGTGGGTGTACACCCAGGATCCCATTCCAACCAAAAGTGGCCTGGTCTCAGTTAGCTGATGAAAGTTGCAAGCGAGAATTTCATCATCGCTTGCAGCTGGGGTTGGCATCGTCCCCCACTCCACCTGATGTCGAGGGTAAATGGGCGAGGTTTAGGACTGTGACTCATGCAGCTGCAATGGCTGCTTTGGGTACGCGGTCCAGACCTCCCCAGAAACCCTGGCTGACAGAGGAGGTGTTCAGGTTAATTGAGAAAAAGCGACAGGCCCACTCTCATCGCCTACAGCATCCCACGTCAGAGAATGAGGAGGTTTACCGCAGCCTTCGCTCGGAAGTTCGGAGAGCCGTAAGGCGTTGTAAGGATGGGTGGTGGTCGCGGGTTGCTGAGGAGATGGAGTCTGCCTCAGTGGCCCGTGATCACAAATCACTATTTAACTCCATCAAAAAAGTAACCTGCAGCGCCACACCTATTACCATCATTAGAGGAAAAAACGGTGATCCAATCTCCGACCCCCAGGAACAGGTTTGCAGATTTGCTGAGCATTTCTGTGAGGTCCTGGGGGAGGGAAATTCTCTCAGCCAGGAAAACATCATGGCACAAAGTGGGGATAACCCTGCTGAGGCTGCGGTGCCTCAAATATTGGAAGAGGTCACCCCCTGTGAGTGGCTGGCTGAGGTTCCAGCTGTTGAGGAAGTACTGAGGGCGATCCGGAGTCTGAGACCAGGGAAGGCACCGGGCAGAGATGATCTCCCAAGCGAAATGCTGAGGGAGGGTGGCGTTTGTGCACAGACTGCCCTATATGACATCATAACAACAGTCTGGACCACTGGACGGGTTCCGCAGGACTGGAAGGATGCCCTGGTGGTCCCCCTCTTTAAGAAGGGGGACCGCACAGACTGTAACAACTACAGGGGCATCTCACTCCTCAGTGTGCCGGGTAAGGTCCTGGCAAGGATTATTCAACATCGCCTTGCTAGGCACGCTGAGGAGGGGCTTGCGGAGCCCCAATGCGGTTTCAGGAAAGGGCGGTCCTGCACAGATGCCATATTTTCTGTCCGTCTGCTACAGCAGAGGTGTAGGGAATTCCAAAAAGACCTACATCTCTGCTTTATTGACCTGGTCAAGGCCTATGATACCATCAGTAGGACTGGACTCTGGGTTGTTCTTCGTGCTTTCGGAGTCCCTGACCCTCTGCTCACGATCATTAAGGACCTTCATGATGGTGAGCGGGCCCGGGTAAAACTACGTGGCCGGGAGTCGGAGCCTTTCCCTGTACACCTTGGGGTGCGACAGGGATGTCCTCTGGCTCCCACATTATTTAACATCTATTTTGACCGCGTAGTTCGTGAAGCCTTCAATAGCTGTACCGGGGGAATTTCCGTTTGGTACAGATATAATGGGAGGCTGATCGACGCCCGGGTGCGATCAAGGGATGGCTCCCTATTGGTCAACCACGTTATGTATGCCGATGATTTGGTAATAGCTGCTCATTCAGAAGAGGAGTTGGAGGCGCTGCTGCTGAGACTGGAGCGTGCCACTAAGAGGTGGGGCCTTACCATCAGCCCCACCAAAACCAAGCACCTGCCTGGGTATTTTGTACCATCGGACACTCCACCCCCACAACTCCCAATTGGTGATGGGGCAGTTGTGGAGAGAGTGGAGAGTTTCCCATACCTGGGCAGTGTGCTTATGACCGGCTCCAGTCTATCAGCAGAGGTCTCACTCCGAATCAGTCGAGCGGCAATATCTTTTCATCGGTTGCGTAACGCTGTGTGGAAGCTACCTGGTCTGTCGCTCCGCACGAAGCTTCAGGTCTTCTCGGCCACGGTCATTCCCTCCCTTCTCTACGCTTGCGAGACGTGGACCCCCCTGGTGGAGCATCTTCGCCGGTTGGAAACATTTAGGCTGGCCTGCCTACGATCCATCCTGGGTTTAACCAGGCTGGATTGTGTGAGGAGCTCACAAATCCTTGAAAGATCTGGGCAAAGTCCCATCAGTGAGCTCCTCCGGCAGGCAAGGCTGCGTTGGCTGGGTCATGTAGCCCGCATGCCCAGCCACCGCATGCCTAAACAGCTTTTGTTCGGCCGGATCGAGGGGGCTAGACGGGCGCGGCACGGGCTGGAGAAGAGATGGAGTGATGTGGTACAGGAGGACGTGGAGCTGAGTGGACTTGCCGATGACTGGTACCAGCGGTGTCAAGATCGGCCTCAGTGGAGGAGGCTCGTGAAGGACGCTACTGGGCAGTTGGAGGCAGTCGCCCTCCAACAACAACGGAGGGCGGAGGAGCGACGCTCACAACAACGAGCGGAGCGCCGGGTGGCTAAAGCACAGCAAGTTGGCACAGTAGGGGGCACAGGTGGTGCATCAGCCAGTCATCTCGGTCATCTCGGTCAGTCGACCAGTGGCACCTGGGTCTGCCCCGTGACCTCCTGCCAGCGGGCTTTCGACACTTCACGTGGCCTCAAGGTGCACTTGGCCTGGCACAAGCATCGTGGTGACGTCACCGCCACTTAGTGGCGAATGGCGGTTGTTGTTGTTGTTGTGTGTGGTGTGTAGGGGGAACGGTAGTGTAGTGCTTAGCGTGCTGCCTGTGTGTGTGTGTCTGTGTATCTGTGTGTGTGTGTCTGTGTGTGTGTGTGTCTGTCTGTGTGTCTGTGTGTGTGTGTCTGTGTGTGTGTCTGTGTGTGTGCGCGTGTGTTGTGTAGGGGGAACGGTAGTGTAGTGCTTAGCGTGCTGCCTGTGTGTGTGTGTGTGTCTGTGTGTGTGTCTGTGTGTGTGCGTGTGTGGTGTGTGGGGAGCGGTAGTGTAGTGGTTAGCGTGCTGTCTGTGTGTGTGTGTCTGTCTGTGTGTCTGTGTGTGTGTGTGTCTGTGTGTGTGTCTGTGTGTGTGCGCGTGTGTTGTGTAGGGGGAACGGTAGTGTAGTGCTTAGCATGTGTCTGTGTGTGTGTCTGTGTGTGTGCGTGTGTGGTGTGTGGAGAGCGGAAGTGTAGTGGTTAGCGTGCTGTCTGTGTGTCTGTGTGTGTGTGTCTGTGTGTGTGTGTCTGTGTGTCTGTGTGTGTGTCTGTGTGTGTGTGTCTGTCTGTGTGTCTGTGTGTGTGTGTCTGTGTGTGTGCGCGTGTGTTGTGTAGGGGGAACGGTAGTGTAGTGCTTAGCGTGCTGCCTGTGTCTGTGTGTGTGTGTCTGTGTGTGTGTGTGTCTGTGTGTGTGCGTGTGTGGTGTGTAGGGGGAACGGTAGTGTAGTGCTTAGCGTGCTGCCTGTGTGTGTGTGTCTGTGTATCTGTGTGTGTGTGTCTGTGTGTGTGTGTCTGTGTGTGTGTGTCTGTGTGTGTGTGTGTCTGTGTGTCTGTGTGTGTGTGTCTGTGTGTGTGTGTCTCTGTGTGTGTCTGTGTGTGTGTGTCTGTGTGTGTGTCTGTGTGTGTGCGTGTGTGGTGTGTAGGGGGAACGGTAGTGTAGTGCTTAGCGTGCTGCCTGTGTGTGTGTCTGTGTGTGTGTGTGTCTGTGTGTGTGTGTCTGTGTGTGTGTCTGTGTGTGTGTGTCTGTGTGTGTGCGTGTGTGGTGTGTGGGGAGCGGTAGTGTAGTGGTTAGCGTGCTGTCTGTGTGTCTGTGTGTCTGTCTGTGTCTGTCTGTGTGTGTCTGCGTGTGTCTGTGTGTGTGTCTGTGCGTCTGTGTGTGTGAGGAGCGGTGGGTGTAGTGGTTAACGCTACGCTGCGCTACCAACCCGGCGAACCGAGTTCGATTCCCGCTCATGGCCACCACCGGTCAAGATTATTTGAACCTCCCATAGGTCGACTCAGCCTCAAACGAGTAACTGGTGTGGCGTATTAACATCGCCACTGGGGAGACAAAGGCGGCCGGCCGTGGTGGATACAAGTCCCGGGCGAAGCCGGGTAGTACAGCTAGTGCCTATTTAAAAAGCTGTGTAAGGTGACATTGTGAGTATAACTTCTAGGATCTTGTCTTGATGATGTTTGCTATTTTTAATTAAGTTAATCGAATTGATAAGTTTGGTCTTAAGGATTGTTCTGCAACTCATTAGTGAGGTTAATCAATAATGATTGGCGTATTAATCGCGAGTACACGAGTCTTTACGACACAGATTTGGTGATATTATTCCGTGGCCTAACACAATTCAATTATGAATCATAATGTTTGCTGCGAAAAGCTATGTGTTAAGATTACAGGGTTGCTGTGGCAGAGTTACGACTGTCCACTTGTACTCCAAATGTTTATATTTCCAAAAGTTCACATGAAAGAGGTATAAGGCATACTCTTTGGTTCTTTCGGTAAGAACCAAAGAGTATGGATTCCTGCAGTCACGAAAGCTTCAAATCAAGGTATAAGGCATTTTATATAAAATAATTTCTTACCAAGAGAGCTCAGGAACTGTTTGACTTCAGGATACTCATATTGCACGGCTTGCAGAGAAATCAGCAGCTGGAGGCAATCATCATTGCCTCTCTTGATGAAGTAGTCGAGCAGTAGCTCTGCACACTTCTCGCTGCCATTCATGTCCATGGCTTTAGTGAAGCGTTCATTAGGGATACATTTTTGTCTCTTCAGATGCTGTAGGAGAGGCTGTGGGTTCTTACCGATCCACAACTTCAGAGCTGACTTATTCTCTCGAACGCACTGCATTGCATCGCCTGTGATTAACAGCTTTGAATAAATGTCACGGGTATTTTTTCAATTGCTATTCACTTTTACCACAATTGTGCTAAAAGAATAAAGAGGCGAAGCAGAGATGGGTTTATAATTGTGCTCAAGCATTATGGCGTTTAACATTAAGTTGTTCAGTCACACGCCACATGGTGTGTGCCATCTTGTTTTGCGGCACGGAACATAACACCGATTAATTATTTGCAAGGGCAATCACATGCTGCAAAGCTGTACAGCATACAAGCATATGAATTCATTTTATTCCTTGCTTATTGTAACAAAATAAATGCAAAATAAATTCACTGCCAGTACACAACTCTTGTTGTAATTAACGTGGGTCATACCTTGGTGCTGAAGCCACCTCCACAGCTGCAAATAGTGCTTCCTCACAAAGTAGAGTGCTTCCCACAGTATCTTACAGTCTGGCTCTCCTTTGTTAAAGAAGTGGTCCAGTATGAGCTTCACACACTCATCTCCATGCCTCTTCCTGGCCGCGTTGTAAACGTGGTGAGGAATCCACTTATAGTCCTTGAGATGCTCCAGGAGGTGTGAGGGATCTACTCCGATCCAGGCCTTGAGATTCTCTTTGTTCTCTCGGATGAGATGCATTGTCCCACTCTCTTGGCTCCCCTGTGGTGAAGAACACGGGATCTGATTAATGAGGGGTGAAGCCCACAGCATACTTGTGAGTAAGCCTACACACTGATTAATTATGAAGGTTGGAGTCAATGTGAAAACATGCTGTGTTGATTTTACCTGAACTCCATTTGACCGAACAGAAACAAGTTTTTCGTTTTCATCATTATCCCTTCCATAGGTAATGCCTGTGAAATGTATCCAATAAAATTAAGTTACCACTGATTCACGTGTAACAGTTGATATGGTTGATAATTTACTTCTGGTAGCAGAGCAAAACATTCAATCATTGGAACCCATATTCAATTCAAAGAGGCCATCTATATTGCAAACATTTTCCAACTGTTATGAAGATGTAACAAATATTTGGTTGCAGAGTTGCAGAATGAAAAGTATTATTGAACGTTAGTGTTAAACCAGAAGTAAGCAGTAGGAAACAGGACTAAAATAGAAGTGTGGCGGAGTGCTGTGAGCCTGCAGACCAAGAAAGCAGCAAAGTCGTTGCCTGCATTGTGCTGAAGACAATAAATATAATCTCATGTAAGAAGTCTAACCGGTTCATGGGAGAACATGTTTGAAGGTGGTTTTTAAATGAAGAAAGGTTGCTGAAAAATATGGCCTTGGGAAACCTCTAAAATCTTTTGTCAAAGGTGGGAAAATCTCAGCTCATAGTCGTCAAATATAGCTGTCCATATAAAATGATTTTGAGTTAGATTGCGCATATATAAATGTGTCGTTAAACCCCCCACCTGACACAACCAATTAGCAAGGTTTGTCACGTAAACAAAACATGCCAATTGGTTACTAATCCAGCACACTGGTATGTTGGAGATTAAACCCACAAAATTTACAATTTGAGTATGAGGTTTTGCTGGTGATTACAACCAGCTTCATCAGGTGATCAGACAAATTTGTGAAGAAGTATTCCTGTTTCAGTCTTAAAAAGAGTAATTATGAAGTCATCATTGTGAGCATTTCAGGTGCCAAGACCATAGGGGGTTTAATGTAGTAATATAAATTACAATGGATCATGTTAAGAGAATATGCAGTACCCATTATTCGTTGGGTCATTCACAAGTAACATTCAGTGGAATGCTTTTATGTTTATTTTGTTGTCCCTCCCCGCACCTACGATTAGGATACATTAGATCTTATAATATTCATATTGGTCGGGAAAGCCTACGTGCTGCCAAAATGTTTATATTGAGGGTCAAGGGATTCATTTCCTATAAAAACATTATTTATTGAAGTAAAATATAAATGTCAAAATATATTGGGGGTCACAGACATTTTATGTCCAGTACACACCTGTCGTAGATAGTGGCAGAACGATAGACAATTAAAATTTTCATAATATCTGGATTTGCAAGTTAGTAACATTTTAAAAAGTTTTCAATTGGAAACATTAGTCAAATTGTACTCTCATCTAATAGTCTCCAATACATGAAGTGCTCTCTCACCTACATATTCTTAGTCATTATTGGAGTCAGTTTGTATCAGATTCTGCAGCAGATTCTGCATCATGTTACTATTTATACTTTATCTTGTTCACCATAATCACTGAGGCTGTTTGGTAGAGGTGCCCTTGTCTGTTGGAGTGATGAACATTTCCCTCAAGGTGAGCTGCGATGAACTAGAGGTTGATCAAGAGTTGTCTGCATTTGTTGTGAAAGCGATTCACATTGTTAAAAACATCTGGTAGTTCTTTGGCAAAGTTGGGAGTGAAATTCATGCAGTTGACTAAACTACTGATCATGAATATGCACGCATTACGAACTTATGATTTGGAGTCATGCAAGGTATCATTGAGATTGACGTTGCAGTAGCTGAAAATATACAACAATGAAACATATGCAAGACGGCTCATTAAGTTCTGGTCTCGAGATTATCTGTCTGCGGTATGAGATAGTAAAGTACATGGAGTACGGTGTACTTTCACAATCAAATATAGGGAACACTTACTCTTTTGTGCCAAAATATGTATGGTGAGAAATATCAATAAACAATGATCAGAATATGTAACAGTTAGTCTCTGAATACCATTACTTAGAGAATGCACCTGGAATATCTCCAGCGGTGTCGCCATGGTAGCATAAGGATACAATTTGATAGATTCATCCCTTTTTGTTACTTAATAAAGGAACACTATACCTACCACAATGCTCCAATGTTTTTTTCAAAGTAAGCCATTTCCCTTTTCTGATAAGTCGAGAGAGAATCAATGCAGACAGTACCAGTGCAAGGACACATCCCAATACGATAGCTGCTGTAGCTGCAGTGTAGTTTCCTAAAGGATGAGAAACAACAAGCTGTCAAAACCAGAATGTTTACAGTCTAATCTACACCTACTTGTCAGAATTGATAAATCAAACTGCATGTTAATCAATTACGTTTTAAGGTCATAACCCGTATCAGATCAAATAATTGGTACATTCAGTATTTGCACCATTCTCATGGTGAAATACTATCACGAAGGAAAGTGCTGTGTTTCATAGCCATTGTCTGCAATGGGTTCTCATTAGGGAGCGATGCTGGTATGTGGCTTCATGTACTTAAGTAATTTGTGGGTACAGTAAACCCTCGCTATACGCGAGTTCTAGATTCGTGAGTTTCGCGAGTAACTAAATGCAAACTAATTCCTTATTCGTGACCCACTGGACTTCAGTATTTGCGAGTATACGCAGTACCAGACCACCAACACCGGTGAGGGGTGCACAGACTTGTATATTTGAAACAGTCTGCGAAGATTAGGCATGCCTCCTCGGCTGCCCGCTTAGTCCTCAAGTCTTGCAGTGATCCCACTCGGAACTCGCTATTGTGCATGCTTACTTAATATGTTCTCACAGTCCACTCGTTTATACATTCGTTTATAACCGAATCAACTGTGAGATGCATTTAAAAGAGTGCGGGAAAGTGTTGTGGCTCGTATTCTCCAAATTATAACTGTGGATTGCTATCAAACACCTGCATCTTCTGAGGAGTCATCCTCCTGAGCTCCTCAACATCACCACCACCTCCATCGTCGTGAAATCATCATCGTCAAAGGTAGTTACAAAAAACACATTGTTTATTATTAAACTAAACCATTTATTTTTCCAGGAAAGGCCCACTATAGCTCTTTTTCAGAAATGACCTGGCCACAAATGATCACTCAACGAAGTGGCTTATCACGTGTAAATTTATATAGCAGCCAAATCCTCTAAATGCATGTTTATAAATGTGGAGGGAAAAACCGGAGGACCTGAAGAAATTCCATGTGACCACGGTGAGAACATGCAAACTCCAAATATACAGGTGTCTGGGTGGGGATCGAACCCAAAACCTACTGTATACCAGCAAGGCATCATCGGTCGGCCTTTTATTGTTATAATTGTTATTAAACATTTGCCATCTCCCCCCTATGTCCACTCGTACCAGGAATGTCACCCCAATTTACCAACTGGAACGAGGTTTCTGCATGGGTGAATTCTGTAATCGTGACCGTTTTCAAGAACGTAACCCTGGCGGATAGAGAAAGGGTTTACCATGTACTTAAAATTTTGCATAATTTGGAAGCCAACATACGTGCCACAATCTTTAAGAACAATATCACAGGATCTCTAATGTTAAGTGTGAAGCGGATGCCACGTAGTTTTTATGGATATATACCCATACTATTAATTAGTGTGGTTGCTGGTTTCGAACCCTGAACTTCGACAACGACGCACTACCGCTTAGCCATTAAATTAAGATTGGGTTGAGTTGGTGAGGAGAGACGGTGACGTCATGAGACGTCGGGGTGTTGAGGAGAGGGGTTCATGACGCCACGCGGGATTTGGGTGTGGCACGAAGAGGGGGTGAGTAATTGTAATTTATAATCCTCATACTGTATATAGAGATGGAAAATCTATATTTCTGTATGAAATCATCAGTTTACGAAATCATCAGAGTCTGTAAATATGTGCCATCCTCTTAACATGGACGTTATGCGGATTCCTAATAGTTAAGTAATAATAAAATAAAATGAAAACAACAAAAAAATCTATTTTCACCTCCGTGACTTACCGAAAAAAACAGAGTGGATCCTTGCAGTCACGAAAACTTCAAATCTAGAATTAGTTAAATAATAGCAATGCTCACCTGATTGAAAGAAGGCATTCAATACCCAGGGTGTGCCTGGGGAATAGGCTACACTCTTGCTATGTAATGGGGCTGTAAAAGCCACAGAGGGGATATGAAGGCAGCTGTTGCTGCATATTGCTTCCACTGATGCTGCTACTGATAGTGATACAGACGATGCTAGGTATGATGATGCTGTCTCGAAGTTGTGAGTTGTAAATGAAACGTGCACAATGAACCCTACTCTTAGGTTATTTCGGTAAAGTCACGTAGGTAAAATAATACAAAAAAATGAAAATAACTAAATTAAATCACGACGTTTCGGAAGGTGTAAGTGCTCCAGTAAAATTACTGTAGCGTGTGAAGAAAGCTATTCAAGACACGTGTTTTTTTATATAGGGTGCTGGGCAGGGAGGAGCCAATGAGTCGGGGGGGGGGGATAACCATCTCGGTGCTTGTACGGTGCTTGTACACTGCAAGTACGGTGCTTGTACACTGCATGTACGGTGCTTGTACACTGCAAGTACGGTGTTTGTACACTGCAAGTACGGTGTTTGTACACTACAAGTACGGTGCTTGTACACTGCAAGTACGGTTCTTGTACACTGCAAGTACGGTGCTTGTACAATGCATGTACGGTGCATGTGAAGTATCCGGAATGACGGCAGGAAACCACTTGACGGGTAGCACACTTTTTATTAAACCTTGACTTGTCACGATACAACGTGTGGTCACTATTCCTCACACTACACACACTTCACTTGACACGTGTGGTCACTATTCCTCACACTACACACACTTCACTTGACACGTGTGGTCACTACCTTTCCCACTACACACTCCACTTGACACGCATAGTTACTATGGCTCACGCTGCATGCTCACACTGCATGCTCACACTGCACTCCAGCCCCGTAACGTCCGTGGAGCCTCCAGGCCCACCCCAGCTTGGGCGTGGGTCACAACCTCTGGGTCCCGAGGGCCGGCCCTCACACGGACGTTCGGCCCCGGGTCCCAGGGTCCCGCCTCTGGGTCACACAGAGCCCCGGCCCTTACAAGGACAGCGGGACTAAGTGCCGCAGGGCCCTATCTCTTCCTCCTCCGTCTTCAGTCTTCGCTGGTCACCAACTCCCCGTGCGCCTGTGCGCACCACCTTATATAGCCCCCGCTCTCGGGAGACGGAGCGTATGCGGACCTCGACGTGAGCATCCCCCTTAGTTGACCAATCCCCGCGTGCTTGTCCCAGGATCCCATCGCTGTCAGCGCGCGTCACCGATACCCAGCCAATCACTGCCTCATAACCCCCGACCCCGCGCTGACCCCTGATCCTTCACCGTCAGCGCGCGTCACCAACACACACAGCCAATCACTACGCGCTGGCACACGATTCCCACCTCAGCGCGTATCACCACTACATCACCCCCTCCCACATAGCTCGCAGCCGGCCCGGCTGCTAAACAACACAATACAACAAAACCCCACCCCCCCAGTGTGCCCCGTAACGCAACAACAACAACAAAACGACACAACACCCGACAACAACCTATGTACAAACCGACAACCAACACAATAAAAGTCAACAACAACACACAACACCTAGACAACAAGCTATGTACAACCCGACAAGAAAAAGAACGTGTCCAGTGTCTCTGTGACTATCGATCCCCCCCCCTCCGCTCGCCCCTCCACCGGGATGATAGAGCGGTCGAGCGGATGAGGAACGCAGTGACGAGGCGCTCCGGCCGCATCGGCCCCTCATTCAGTTGGTCATGAAAAGTTGCGCGACTTAACGCGAGTCCGCCTGGCCGGTCCATCGTATGGGACGGGACGCTGACGACCGTCTGGTGGCTCCGGCAGCCCTGGAAGGCGCGGATCGGGCCTGGAAGGACCGGCCGCGCCGCGGGGATCCGGCCGCCGGTGGTCGGCAGCTGTCAGTTCCGAGACACCTGGGAGCGGATCAGGCGGAGACATGTGAGGATCAGGCGGAGACATTTCCCCCCTTGGGTCATCGGTCACATCACCTGCTCGGCCCTCACGACACAAAGGGAGGCCATATGGAGGCGAGAACGGTTTCAGTCGGGAGGGGTGGACGTACCAACGGCGCTTTCCCCATTTTATCTGAACACACTGGGGGCGTGCAACCCGCACGACCTCCACGGGTCCCCGCCATGGCTTCAACAATTTAGGCGACGTAGCCAAAGGTGCCTGAGGGCAGTGCAGCCAGGCCCTATCGCCTGGTTTCCAGTTGTGCACGGACACCTTCCGTGCACGCAAACGCTCGTTGGCAATTTGGCGAGCCCGCGAATTAAGCCGTGCGGCCTCCCGTGCCTCGGTCAGCTTATGAATGTTAAATTTAATATGTTCAGCCAATTTCGAATTCGTTCGTGGCGCGGACAGTCCCAGCTGCGTTTCCATGGGCGGGTCGGCTTCCCGACCATACATCAGATAGAATGGGGAAAATCCCGTTGCTGCATGGGGGGCCATTCTATACGCAGCGAGGACCCCCGGGACCTGCAGGTCCCAGTCAACATGTGCCTCACACACCTGCTGGCACAGCATAGAAGTCAAAGTCCTGTGGAGTCGCTCCACCATCCCGTCTGTCTGTGGGTGGTACGGGGAGGTACGCACCTTCTTAGTACCCAATAGGTCGCACACCTCTTGCAGCAATTTACTAGAAAAATGTTTCCCTTAGTCGGTCAGCAAGCGTTCGGGAGCCCCCTTGTCCAGAACGTAGCCCTGGACAAAGGCGTCCGTCACAGCCGCCGCCGACTGGTTGGCGAGTGGCCACGCCATAGGCCACCGGGTAAAGTATTCGACACCAACCAACAGGTACTTATTTCCTCTAGGCGTGACTGGAAAAGGCCCCAAAATATCGAGCGCAACGAGCTCGTTAATGCGCGAGACCTGAATAGACTGCAGCGGTGGATTTGACGCCACGGGCGGCGGTTTTCGTCTGGCGCAATCAACACACCCCTTTAGAATATTCACCACATCACTCCCCATCCCCGGACAATAATAGTCACGCTGAAGCAGAGAAAGCGTTTTGTTTACTCCCAAATGCAAGAGGCGGTCATGTGCGGCCAGGACAACTTTACCCCACACAGCGGAAGGCACCACGAGTGCGTACCGCCGGGACAAATTGTCCCATCTCATTAACAGGCCCTGCTTGAGTACCCAGGAGCCAGTTCG